AAAAAAAAAAAAATCTTACAAGCAGCCATCTAAGATACAGCTATTGGTCTCTACTCATCTGAAGTAAAAAAAGAGTGAAGGAAAACAAAGACTCAAAGAAAAAAGTAGTCCACAGGACTAATAGCCAACAAGAACCACAGCCTCATCTAACACGAGACCAGAATAACTAGATAGTGCCCAGCTACCACTACTGACCGTTCTGATAAGAGACACAATAAAAGGTCCCACATAGAATGGGAGAAAATGTAGAACAAAATTCAAATTCCTAAAAAGTACCAGACCTACTGGACTGATAGAAGCTAAAGGAACCCCCTAGACTATTGCCCTAAGATAATCTTTGAATTTAGAACTAAAGCTTTTCCTGGAGGTCACCTTTCATAATAGATTGGCTTATAAAATAAGCAATATCACCCATGACTAATGTGCTTGTTTAAACAATCAGCTTTATGAGACCAAATGGACAACATTTATCTAAAAGCAAAGATGACAAAAAGGCAAGAAGGGGAAGAGAAGTTAGATGAATGGAAACAGAATGGAAATAGTGATAATGGTGACACATTGTGAAAATTATAACCAATATCAGGGAACAATTTGTATAAAAATTGTTAAGTAGAAACCTGCTGTGTAAATGTTCACCTAAAACACAATAAAATATTTAAAAAAAAAAAGATGATCCTGTGGACATTGGTAATCCCTGAGGACCATTGTTGTAATGAATTACACTGAAACCTATGAGAGTCAGAACTCAATGAGACTGCCTTATTTATCCAGGTCTTGCAAGTCTTACACCTTTGACAGGGTGCAGTCTTACCACTTTTCTATCACTCTCTTTTAATGGGAAATAATTTTCCTTATCTGACAGGTTTCTACCTTACAAAGCTTCTGGCTTTTGCAGGTTTTATTGTATATTAATTGATACATGCAGTAAGATGGCAAAATATGCAGACAAGCTATACAGACCCTCTTTAACAAAGAAAAGAGAAACCAGATACAGAAGATAATCCTGGAACCCTGAGCTTTGAAAGGAAGGATAAAGAAGTGGATTAAACACCAACTAGTAGAATAACCTGAATGAAAACAGTGGGTAAGGGGACAAATGGAGCTGCAGACTGTCAGCTATCCTGACAGCACGGGCAGACTGAATATTTCCAAGCGGTGTTAGGACCTGAAAATTAACCTAAAAATTGGCACCGCTCTCTAAGGGCTGCATAGACAACTGCAGTGGTGGCTGATGACTAAAAAGGGAAACAACAAAGAAGGAGACAAACTGAGTTGTGGACTTTTGGCTGTCCAGAGAATGCAGCCATTTTGAATGTTTACAAGTGATGGCCATTTTGGATATTAAAGCAACAGTGTTCTTGTTTACATTCCAGGGATGTAAGAATAGGCTCCACTTGCTGAGGATAGCACAGACATACAGGAGGCTGAAAGGAAAGGAGACAGGTGGTGAGTGTGTAAGTGCTGCCAACTAGTGAACAGAGGAGCACAGTGCCCTGCTTACTCACATAACATCCAAAGAAAGGAAAAATCTTGAGTGAATCACTCCAACATACAATCATCAATTAAATATAAATACAAAAAAGTCACATCTCAGAGACAACAGATCATCATAGTCCACACAAAGAAGCAAGATAAAGCAGGAGAAATAAGGAACTAGGATACAGACCCAGAACACATCCCTGAGGAAGAAGCAGCATTGGAACTCCCTGATAAGGTATTCAAAAGAGTTATATTTAGGTTACCTGCAACAGATAAAGAGACAGATCAAGGAAAATACTGACAAAATTGGGGAAAACCCTAGAACAATTTCAAAAGGCAATACAAGAACAAAATAAATGAAAAATTAGAAATGATACAAAATCTACAGATAGAAATCTAGAAGATTAAATTCCCAGAAATAGATAACACATTGAATGGGCAAAGGATTAGAATGGGGTGAATCAGAAAAAAGATCAAAACAAAAGGAAGAAAGCCTAAGATTCATTTGGGATATCATCAAAAGGAATAACCTACTTGTAATTGGAATTCCAGAACAGGAAGAGACAAATAAAACCAAAGAGAAAATCATTGAAGATTTGTTGGAAGAGAATTTCCCTGATATGATGAAAGATGAGACTATATCCATTCAAGAAGTCCAACAGATCCCAAACAGGATAGACCCCAAAAGAAAATCACCAAGACATATCATCATCAAACTCACCAAAACCAAAGACAAAGAAAGAATCCTGTAAGCAGCGTGGGAAAAATGAAATGTTACTTACAAAGGGCAACCAATAAGACTAAGCTCGGATTTCTTGGCAGAAACCATGCAGGCAAGAAGGCAATGGGATGGTGTATCTAAAACCCTGAAAGAAAAAAATTCCAGTCAAGAATTATATACATGGCAAAACTGTCCCTCAAAAATGATGGTAAATTATAGGATATTTATAGATGTTGTTGTTGTTGTTAGGTGCCATCAAGTGGGACCTGACTCATAGCGACCCCTCCTTGGGTTGCTGAGGCAGTATCACTACGGAAGTAGAAAGCAGAAATTAAAAGAAATTGTTTAAAACAGACCAACCTTAACAATAGATGCTAAAGGAAGTCCTTTGGACAGAATATCCAAAGTAAATAAGCCTACAGGGAACCAGAGACATCAATTGGCAAAGGAGAACAACTACAAACCAAAAACAGGGAAAAAAATAATGTAATTACAGAACTTCTAAAAGGTGAGAAAGTCAAGACAATTGCAAGATAGAACAGACTGTTCTAAACTTGGGAAGAAAATTATAAATCACAAGGGTAACCTCAAAGAAAAATGATAAACCTTCACATCAAATAAAAAAGAGGACCAGCACAAATATTTAGCAAATACTAAAACAATAGCAATGAAGGAAGTGATATCATGATTCATAAACAAAAATCTCAGTGCAGAAAATGATATGGAACAAAGAAATCAGTAACACCAGGAAACTACTTATCTGACAGTGGACTTATCTCTAAAATTTATGGAAAATTCCAACACCTCAACAACAGAAAGACAATCCAATTTAAAAATGGGCAGAAGACATGAATAAACACTTCACCAAAGAGGATATTCAGGCAGCCAACAAACATATGAAGAAATGTTCATGGTCGTTAGCCATTTAGAGAGATGCAAATCAAAACATCAAAACAATAATGAGATACCATCTTGCCCCAGCCAAATTCAACAAGACAGAAAATAACAAATATTAGCGAGGATGTGGAGAGATTGAGACTCTCATACCCTGCTGGTGGGACTGTAAAATGATACAACCACTGTAGAAAGCAGTATGGAGATTCCTTAAAAGCTGGAATTAGAAATATCATTTGAGCCAGCAATCCCATTACTAGGTATATATCCTGAAGAAGTGAGAGCCAGGACACAAACAGATATATGCATACCCATGTTCATCGCAGCACTATTTACAATAGCAAAAAGATGGAAACAACCTAGGTGCCCATCAATAGAATAATGGATGACTGAACTACATGGTACATACACACAATGGAATACTGTGCAACACTAAAGAATAATGTAGAATCTGCAAAACACTGCATAATTGGATGAACTTGGAGGATATTATGCTGAGTGAAATAAGTCAATCACAGAAGGACAAATATAGTATTAGTTCATTTTTGTAAAAAGTCAAGGAAAGGTTTGTGTATGGAAGGAAACTTTCTTTGTTAATCACCAGGGGTAGGAGGGGAGGGGAGGGATCTCTGAAAAAAAAAAAAAAGATACCCTAACATTGAACCATCCATGAGTTCCAGAAAATTATAATCACTATGTGGACTTGTTGTTTTTAGGGGCCATCAAGTTGGCTCCAACTCATAGCAACCCTATGTACTACAGAACGAAATACTACCTCATCCCTCGCCATCCTCACAATCCTTGCTGTGCTTGAGCCCACTGTTGCAGACAGTATGTCAGTCCATCTCATTGAGGATCTACCCCTTTTTCTCTGACCTTCTGCTTTACCAAGCATGATATCCTTATCTAGGGAATGGGCCCTTCTGATCACATGACCAAAGTAGATGAGATGAAGTCTGGCCATTCTCACTTCTAAGGAGCATTCTGGCTGCAGTTCTTCCGGGATAGATGTGTTCCTTCCTCTGGCATTCCATAGTATTTTCAATATTCTTTGCACAATTCAAAGGCACCAGTTCTTCAGTCTTCTTGATTCATTGTCCAGCTTTCACATGCATATGTGCCAATTGATAATACCATGGCTTGGATTAGGTGCACCTTAGTCAAAGTGCATCTTAGAGCAAAGTGACATCTTTGCTCTTCAACACTTTAAAGAGGTCTTTCGCAGCAGATTTGCCCAGTGCAATATGATGTCTGATTTCTTGACTGCTATTTCCATGAGTGTTGATTGCAGAGCCAAGTAAAATGAAATCTTTCACAACTTCAATCTTTTCTCCATTTATCATGATGTTGCTTATTGGTCCAGTTGTGAGGGTTTTTGTTTTCTTTATGTTGAGGTAATCCATACTGAAGACTGTAGTCTTTGATATTCATGAGTAAGTGCTTCAAGTCTCTTTACTTTCAGCAAGCAAGGTTGTGTCTTCTGCATGTCACAGGTTGTTAATCCTGATGCCATGATCTTCTTCGTATAATCCAGCTTCTGGGATTATTTGCTCAGCATACAGATTGAATAAATATGGTGAAAGGATACAACCCTGACCCATACCCTTCCTGATTTTAAACATTGCAGTATTCCCTTGTTCTGTTTGAATGACAGCCTCTTGGTCTATGTACAGGTTCGTCATAAGCATGATTAAGTGTTCTGGAATTATCATTCTTGCACTGTTATCCTCAATTTGTTATGATCCACATAGTTGAATATCTTTGCATAGTCAGTAAAACACAGGTAAACATTACTCGGTCTTAGGGGGAATATTTTAATAAGGTGATCACGTTTTCTAAAGTACTCAAAAGTTCCTTTTCTTCACTCCCTCCTGTCCCACCTTCCCTTACCCAACCCCCTTGACAGGCTCCTCCACTAAGACTGTGTCTTCTGGGCCCCCATGGCTCTGGAAAAACTATTTGTGGAAGGTATTTGGCAGAAAATTTTGGCATTTTCCACATTCAGTTTGAAGAAGTCCTTCAAGAAATATTAATGATCAAAACTGAAAAGAAAATTGGACCTGAATTTGAGGAAGACTCTGAGGATGAACAACTTGCAAAGCAAGAAATTGAAGAGCTTGCAATTCAAGCCAATGTTAAGATTGAGGAAGAAAGTACAAAGAAGCCGGTAGTAATATTAGTACTCTTTGCAGATAGTTGTGTTCACTGGTATTGCTTTTGCAAACTAGAATGTAAGAAGTATAAAGTATTATAAAGTTTCTAATAAGAAAAAAAATCTATGAAAAGCACTTAAGATTTATCCCTGACATGTTAAATAGAGATCTTACTGCCCACCTAAAATATAAAATACTGAGTTTCACATGACTCCAGTGAAAGATCGGGAAAGCCTTCCCTGACAATCATAGTATAGACATTTGGGGCTATGTTCTTTGCTATGTCCTACCTAGACTATAAGGTTTTCAGTTACTGTGTTTTCTATGTCCTCTATCAAATATCATAAAAATCTGTCCCAGTGCCAATGAGATTCAAAAATATTAATTTCTAGCAATGCCTATAAGAAAGTATTTATAAATTATCTCTAGATCTCTAGATAATTTATATCTCCAAATCAAAACAAAACACACTGCCATTGAGTTGATTCTGACTCAGCAGCTCCCACTAGGTTTCAAAGGCTGTAAATCTTTAAGGAAGCAGACTCCCTCACCTTTCTTCCAAGGAACAGCTGGTGGGCTTGAACCATAGACCTTTTGGTTAGCAGCCAAATGCCTTAAACACTACACCTCCAGAGTTCCTTAATGTCTATCTGGCATTGTAAAAATAACATTCTTAATTCTAACTCACTTGTTAACCATTTCTGAAATACCTAGATCACTTTTGTCTCAAATGATCTCCCAGAAATAGACCAAGGTTGTTGTTGTGTCGTGTACTGTCGAGTTGGCCCCAACTCATAGCGACCCCTCCTTGGGTTGCCAAGGCAGTATCACTATGGAAGTAGATTGCCCAGCCTTCCTTCTGAGGAGTAGATGGTGGGTTTGAACTGCCAACCTTCTGGTTAATAGTCAAGTGCCTTAGGCACTAGTTAATGTGTAATACTTACAAAGTTGGAACAGGGCTGTATAGCAGGATGTAGTGTCCTAACAGGTGATGTGCATCCCTTCAAACATATTCTTTAAATATTTGCCACTTATATTTGGTATAGCTGGAGAAATTGAGATTCTGTTAATTTTTTTAGAAAAAGTATACTTTGATCTAGATTTTGAAATTCAACAGGTATATATTTTAAAATGTAGCAGGATATTTCCTACTTTTCTGGAGTTTTTTTGTTTGGTTTTCTTTCACAGTTTTCTGAATCATTTGACTCCTCAGAAGGCACATGAAGAGATTTTACTTTTAGATAATAAAATTATATCCCACTTCCTGATAAGCAAAGATTGTTATACCTTATTCAGTTTCAGAAATTTTGGATGACAAAATTTCTAAATAAAAATAGTTCCACTCTAGTAAGAACTATTGTTTTTAAATATCCATTCAAGACTGATCCTACTTCAGAGAGAGCTGAGCTGTTAATGATCACAACATTTTCTATTTATTATTACAATATTTCAGTCTCCTTATAGATTATATTCCATATGGCTGCCTAGCTGACTCATCGCTTAATTATGATCTAGGTTGGAGAGTTAATACTGTATAATTACAAGAAAGACAACAAAAATCAGTAAGCCTTGTAGGTGTGTGACTTAGACCATACGAGGTTTTAACCAAAAGTGATGAGACAGGTACCAGAGTCCATGTATGAAAATCAGTCCTGTTAATTGTTGGTAATTACTCTTAACCATAAACCAAACCAAATTCACTACCATCAAGTTGATTCCGACTCATAGCAATCCTCACTGGATTTCCTGAGGCAGTAAATCTTTACTGAAGGAGATTGCCCCATCTTCCTTCCTCTGAGTGGCTGGTGGGTTTGAACCACCAACCTTCTGGTTAGTAGTCAAATGCCTTAAGCACTGTGCCACCAAAGCTCCTTTCTTTCTAACTGTAGTAAATATAATTTAACACTTATAATCATTTTAAATATTGATTTAGAAATAGAGCCCAAGTTTTGATATTTTAAATACAAAACCATAGTATAAAAAAATTACTGAAAAAAAAAAGTAGGTTTCTTCCCAATCAACTATGGACTGTTGTTGTTGTTGTTGTTTGTTATGTGCCGTCGATGGACTGTAGTGGTCTTTATTAATATAGAGTTTTGTTTTATTTTCTAATTCTTTGTTTTCAGACTCCAGAAGTACATCTTACAGAGGAAGAAGAAGCAATCAAATCATATCTAATAGACAATGACCCATTACCTCCAGAGATTCTTGAAAGAATTCTTTCTGAGTGGTGGCTTAAGGAACCAATACGGTACTTTAATCTATACAGGATTATATATTTACTGACTTTTATTTGCTTTATTCTTAAAAGTTAAAGGTGCAATTCCATATAAATTTAATAATTTTCTCTTCTAGCTCCTGTCATATTAAATGAATGACTCTTGCTTTGGCTACACCTTCAAAACATCTGGGGAGTTCTTCAAAAATTCTAATGACTAGACCTCATGCTAAAACAATGGCATCTGGTGTGGGGCTGAGACCCAGGCACTGGCATTTCTGAGAGTTCCTCAGATGGTTCTCATGTGCAGTCATGGTTGAGAAGGCCTGTTCTAAACCCATGTACCCTAATTATGTCCAGGACTCTTTTCTCAAATTGCCTTTTGGCAATTATAGTGAAAGCCAGAACATGACAGCACTGCCTTGTTTTTCCAGGTCTCACAAGTTTTCCACCTTTGACAGGGTATGGTCTTACCACTTTTCTATTGCTTCTTTTGGTGAAAAATATTTTAATTTTCCTTCTCTGACAGGTTTCCACCTTCCACGTGTTCCGGCTTTCACAGGTTTTACCATACAGTTAAAGACACTTCATGACTTGACCTGTGTTATCCCTTTACTAAATGCCAAAAACGTTCCTGACACCAGACAGGACAATTTTAAGAATCTCCAGGTCACCAGAGTTCAAAGCTTCACCTCTCTTCTTTAATCAGACTCTCTCTTGCCTTGATAACTACCTGTAAATGACTTCTCTGACACCAACTACCTGCAGTTAGGCCTAACTTTACAGGTTAAGGGCACAGTTCTCTACAAATTCTCAATTCACTTCAGACATCAGCCACAAGTTTGGGGCACCTTCACTTCTGACCAGCTGGTTACAATCTAGAGGTTCTTACTATCCCATCAGGTTTGATAATTCACTAGAATGACTCACAGCATGCACTGAAAGTGCTGTAGTTATGAATGCAGTTTTATTATAGCCAAAGAATACAAATTAGAACCAGCCAAAGGCTATGAGTGAGGATCAACTTGATGGCAGTGGGTTTGGTTTTATTTATAATTTTTTGGAAAGGGAGAAATGGATAAGGCAATATCTAGGAGGATACCAAATACAAAGCTTCCATATCCCCAGAGACATGTCACCTTCCTGTCACATAGATGTACACAGAATATCAGCGAAGCTCACCTGAACCTGAGAGTTGAGTTTTTATTGAGTCTTCATTATGTGGGCGTAATCATTGGCCATGTGATCGAACTCAATCTCTAGCCCCTTTCCCTTGCAAAAGATGAGGCTGATATCATGTGGCTCAAAACTCCAAACCTCTAATCACATGATTATTTTTTCTGCCATGACCAGCATGAATCATCCTGTTAGCATACACTGTCAGGCGTGGTCCAGGGGCCCACAATTAATAACAAAGTCAGTCCAATCTCCCTGGAATTGGGGACAAAGGCCAGCCAAATTCTCTATTACACAGGATTAAAGGTTACCTCTCAGGAACCAGGAACAGAGACTAACCAAATTCTCTATTGCATACTACCGGAAAGTTTTATGGTTCTAGGATCAAGTTCTGACCCAATGAGAAATTTTCATTTGTGCTCCCTGCTAGAGCAAAACCAACCCCAGAATATTGGCTCCTTCCTAGACCCTACTAATAAGGATAGGCCAGCTATAGAACAGCAGAGACTCATGGGAAGGCAGGTCAGATCAGCCTTGGCCAGAATCACTCACAGGTCACAGCAGAAACCATGGAGGACGTGGAAAAGAGCAAGGGATCATGGAGTTAATTTTATGTATTTTTGAAAAAGCAGTATTTGCGGGTTCCCGTTGGTGGTGGACCAGCCAAATGTACTCGTTGCATCCAGGGTGATAAATTCATTAGCCTGTATGCTCCTCCCAAGCTGAGAACTTATTTTCTTTTTCCTGTGATCTTCTCATAATTTTTAATAAGCTTCTAATTAATAGTAATCATCTATAATCTGGTTGGTTACAATTTTATATTATAAAATATTGTCATTTTAACCCAATCCAGACTATTTGGGAGAAGAAATGAAACTTAATGTATACACAAGTAGAAATATTAAAAGAAGCAAAAGAAGTAAACTTTTTTAAACTATTCATGCACATCTATGTAAAATTGAGATTTATCTATATGTTTTTTCATTTTTAAATCTACAGTTAATCTATAATAAATAGTTTAATCAAATAAGATAAATTATGACATTTTCCACCTAGTTCCACAGGTTTTATACTAGATGGTTTCCCACGATATCCTGAGGAGGCCCAGTTGCTGGGGGAACGTGGATTTTTCCCAGATGCTGCTGTTTTCATACAAGTCGATGATCAAGATATTTCTGATCGTCTTCTTCCTTCCCACATTGAAAAGTGGAAAGTGAAACAAAAGAAGAAATTAGACAGGAAAAAACTCATCAAAGATATGAAGACAAAGATAAGGGTAGGTATCCAATAAGAATGCCTGGGAACAACTTTGTTCACCGTCTATTTTAGATTATAAAGTGGTCTTTACAAAAATACAGTGTTTCAATTTTAATACCACAGTCAGCATGAATGCATTGTTCATCAAATAACAAGACTATTCAAATTAAAGAATTTAGAATTATTGGAGGCCTTTGTGATTGGTAGACAGCGCTGGCATCTTAACTAACTCTTCACTGACCACTACTTGTTTGAGTAAAGGAAGCAGAGAAAAAGTAGACTCAGGATACAGACGTGTGTTATCGTGTATGCTTTGCATTTCTTTGTCGTGTATAAAGTGACCTTTAAGCAAAGTCAAAGTACAAAGGAGATTGTGTTTTCACACTCCTAAGGCACTTGACTGCTAACCAGAAGGTTGGCGGTTCAAACCCACCAGCCATTCCTCAGAAGGAAGATTGGGCAATCTACTTCCATAGAGATACTGCCTCAGAAACCCAATGAGGGATCACTATGAGTTGGAGACGACTCGATGGCACATAACAACAACATAGTTGAAGGACCTGTGGTAAAACTACAGTTTAAACAAAGGAAATAGTATGAGTTTTGTAAACTCCTACCCTATTAAGAGTAATGGAATATCTCTGGGGGCTCACAAAGCAAATTAATTTGTTTCAATTCAGTTTTATACTTCTACTTACAAATATTTCTTGAGTATTTACATGATATAAGTTCTCAGGAATATGTACTCGATATTAACCAGAGAAGTAGCTCTGGTAGCGTAGTGCCTAAGGTACTTGACTGCTAACCAGAAAGCTGGAGGTTCAAACCCACCTCAGAAGGAAGGTTGGGCAATCTAATTCTGTAGTGATACCGTCTCGGAAACCCAAGGAGGGGTCGCTATGAGTCGGGTCCGACTCAACGGCACATAACAACAACACAATTAACCAGAGAAGAGTGCCAGGATCCTTATGGCCTAGACCAGAGCCCGTAGAGCATGTCTGCAGGTACTTCTTTAATCTCCCACTGAGTTCTGAGCCAATGAGCCCCCAAACCCTACGGGTGCTCATTAGTTTTCACACAAGCCTTGGGGACATTTCATAGAATCCATTGCATCAGACTTATTAGAGGACCCTAGAGGGGCTGGATGACCATCTTTGTACCATGTCTGTGAGCATACGCTGTCCTTGTATGTTGTTGTTGTTATGTGCTGTTGAGTCGTCTCCAACTCATAGAGACCTTATGTACAACAGAACGAAACACTGCTTGGTCCTGCAACAGCCTAACGATCTCTACTATATCTGAGCCCATCACCACAGCCACTGTGTTAATCTATCTTGTTGAGGGCCTTCCCCTCTTCCGTTGACCCTCCACTTCACCAAACATGACATCCTTCTCCAGAGAATGGTCCCTTCTGACAACATGACCAAAGTAGGTGAGACGAAGTCTGGCCATTCTCCCTTCCAAGGAGCATTCCAGCTGCACTTCTTCCAGGACAGATTTGTTAGTTCTTTTAGCAGTCCACAGTACTTTCAGCATTCTTTGCCAACACCACAACTCAAAAGCATCAGTCTTCCTTATTCATTGTCCAGCTCTCACATCCATTCGAGGCAATTGAAAACACCATGGCTTGGGTTAGGCGCATTAGTCTTCAAGGAGATATCTTTGCTCTTCAGCACTTGAAAGAAGTCTTTTGCAACAGATTTGCCCAATGCAATATGTCTTTTGATGTCTTGACTGTTGCTTCTGTTGGCGTTGATTGTAGAATCAATTAATATGAAGTCTTTGACAACTTCAGTCTTTTTTCCATCTATTGTGATGCTGCCTATTGGTCCGGTTGTGAGGATTTTTGTTTTCTTTATTTTGAGGTGCAATCCATACTGCAGACTGTAGTCTTTAATCTTCATCAGTAAGTGCTCCAAGTCATCCTCACTTTCAGCAAGCAAAGTTATGTCGTCTGTGTATCCCATGTTGTTAACGAGCCTTCCTCCAATCCTGATGCCATGGTTGCAGCAGTATATTGACAAAGAACTTCCAGAAATGTCAGCTGGATTCAGAAGGGGATGTCGAGTGAGAGATATCATAGCTGATATCATAGCCAAGATAGATGGATCTTGGCTCAAAGCAAAGAATACCAGAAAGATGTTTACTTGTGTTTTATTGACTATGCAAAGGCATTTCTATTGTGTGGATCATAACAAATTCTGGATAACATTGAGAAGAATAGGAATTCCAGAACACTTAATTGTAGTCATGAGGAACCTGTACATAGACTAAGAGGCTGTCATTGGAACAGAACAAGGGGACACCACATGGTTTAAAATCAGGAAGGGAGTGTGTCAGGGTTATATCCTTATCCATATTTATTCAATCTGTATGCTGAGCAAATAAACCGAGAAGCTGGACTATATGAAAAAGAACTTGGCATCCTCATATGTACATATGTATTTTTAGGGTTTTTAAGCTAGTATTTTAATACTGTTATAAAAAGATTATCAATTATTTTCAATGAATTACCTCCAAGAATTGCCTTCTGAAAAATCAGCCAGTGAAAACCCCATAGATTACAACAGTCTGATCCCGCTGTGCATGGGGTCACCAGGAATTGAAGGCCAACTTGACAGCAGCTAACAACAAATTTCCCTTTTTCTCCAAGTATGAAAAGCAAATGAATAATAAATATTTGCAAAAGAATTCTAAAGTCTGTGGAACAAGTGACTAACTTCAGGTGTTATTTGTCTCTCTGAAAGGAAATAGCTGATCAAGAGGTATGGTAGTTAAGGTTGTATGTCAGTTTGACTGGGACTGTGGTGTTGAGTGTCTGGGCAGCTGGATATAGTTATTCCCCCATGATAAGACTGTAATCACCTCCATGGTGGAATCTGCTTTGAGCAGCTAAGTAGTTGCCTTTAGTATGTGACCTACTTCCAGTGTGTAAGGAGAAGCTTTGAGGAAAGTCTGTAGGTTTTGGCTCTGTCTTCATCCCCAGTTCCTGCACCTGAACCAGTTACCTACCATGTTGCCTGTCAATCTTGGAATTGTTCCTAAACTTGAACTAGTGGCCTCCCATGTTACTTGCTTATCTTAGGACTGTGCCATTTTACCTGCTAACCTTGGGTTCAGCAGCCTCAGAAGCAAGCAGCTGCCTGAGTTAGAAAATGCTGCTAACTCCAGTGGACCTGGAATAAGAGGCAGAGCTGAAGCCCAGCATCAAGGGCCCTACACCCAGCCCCTGGAGCCGGCATCTGAATTTGGACTTCTAGCCTCCTACACTGTAAGAGAATAAATTCCTGTTTGTGAAGCCATCCACTTGTGGTAATTCTTTTATAGCAGCACTAGAGAACCAAAACAAAGAGGTCCAGAAGTACAAAGATATAAGTAACATAATTACAAATAGTATCCCCAGTTTGGAAAAAAAAAAAATACATTCAGATATAGAAAGTAATTTTGATCATTATCCATTAAGATTTTTAAATGTCTCTTTCTTTAACAGAATGATACGATTGCTAAAAGAAGGGCTGAACTTATATCAGAAAGAGAGAAAAAAAAGAAAGGGGAGGTGAGTGAATAGTGTAAAATAAAATGATGCATAGAAGGACATCTGGAAGGAAATACATGGTGCTGCACATGAGTAAGGAATGACAAACCATTCTGATTTTCTTCTTTCTACTTTTTGATATTCCACAACTGTTATACAATGACTTTTTATTGTTTTTGTAACAGAAAAATGAACAATTTTTAAATGAAAGAACACCATTGAAGATGGTGAAAATAATCTAATATAAAATGTAATATTGCACTAAACTGTGCCCTTCTGGGGCTTTTGTTTTGACCATATTCACAAGGGACACCTTCAGCCAGTGCCACAGTAGATGGACTGGGGAGTGAGCACTTGACAGGGAACCCATGAAGTTGTGGTTAAGTGTAGATTATCTCCAGATAAATAATGGAATAGCGCAGGGCCTGTGAACCCTTAGAGTTAGACACCTGTGCAGAATGTTCAGTACAGCTTCTTTTCTTTTCTCCACCTACTGATATTTTTAATAAGATGAACCTTGAAGATCATGTATTTTGTTTTATTAAAAGAGATGAGGTATTCCCATTTTCTTTGTTGGTTACCAGGGTTGGGTGGGTAGGGGAGGGAACACTGTTAGATAGGTGAGACAGGTATTGATTTGGGTGAAAAGAAGGGCAATGTACCAAATGTGAGTGATCAACATGGTGGCATTGAGGAAGAGGAAGACACAGAGAGGTACATGGGAGGTAGAGACAACAAAAAGGAACCCTTTTGTATATACAGTACTGGGTTGTCACGGAAGGCAAACATGGATATACAGGTGGATAGATGGGTGGACAGGCTGAACTATTAGGTATGTCTATGCAGGGGAGAGTGTACCCAAGACAATGTATAGGGTTGGCAGACAATGTTTCTACACGTGTATTGGTATGTTCTATAAGAATTCCCAGGAGCTCTGGTAGCATAGTGGCTAAGGCACTTGACTGCTAACCAGAAGGCTGGCGGTTCAAACCCACCAGCCACTCCTCAGAAGGAAGGTTGGGCCCAGCTCATAGCGACTCCCTCCTTGCGTTTCCGAGGCACTATCACTATGGATAATAGATTGCCCCCATCTTCCTTCCGAGGAGTGGCTGGTGGGTGAGGAGTGGCTGGTGGGTTTGAACCGCCAGCCTTCTGGTTAGCAGTCAAATGCCTTAGCCACTATGCTACCAGAGCTCCTAACTACCTTGTTGTTGTTGTTGTTATGTGCCATCGAGTCGGACCCGACTCATAGCGACCCCTCCTTGGGTTTCCCGAGGCAGTATCACTATAAAGTAGGATTGCCCAACCTTCCTTCTGAGGAGTGGCTGGTGGGTTTGAACTGTCAGCCTTCTGGTTAGCAGGCAAGTGACTTAGCCACTATGCTACCAGAGCTTCCCCCTAATATAGTGGTGAGTATAGTATAGTGGTGAGTATCCCCGCCTGTCACGTGGGAGACTGGGGTTCGATTCCCCGACGGGGAGCCTAACTACCTTAAGCCTTTGGAAACTTCTAGTGGTCCCCTTAGGAGCTCTGGTGACATAATGCCTAAGGCTTTTTACTGCTAACCAGAAGGTTGGCAGTTCAAACTCACCAGCCACTCCTCGGAAGAAAGACTGGGCAATCTACTTATGTAATGATACTGCCTTGGAAACCCAAGGAGGAGTCATTATGAGTCGATATCAACTCCATGTCAACAAGTTTGAGGGTTTGTTTTTTTTTTTGAGTGGTCCCCTTCACAATCACCTCAAATGTCTCAGCAACACATTATTTAGGAGTCCAGACTTTGGGGGTCAAGCAGACCTCGATTGGTATCCTCTCTCCAGTTCTTACTCACTTTGTCACTGCTGGACCTCCACTGCTCAATATATATAGTGGGTGCTCAGTATATAGTTGTTTTGGTGCTGTAGTGAAATATTGAGTAAGTTACTGAAACTCCTCTGAGCCTATTCTTTTCATTCACTTTCATGGGAAAATTAATCATTCTTTGTTTCCCTATCTAATAATGTTTTCATTTCTCTTCTTTGCTATACTTTAATTAAATCTTTCTTCTTACAAAGTACTTTTCAGAATAAACTAAAAATATTCTTGATTTGTAATTTTTTCCATTGACAACATTAGAGTGATATGTTTCCTGATAATATTTTAATTCAAAGATTCAATATTCTATCTTATAAGTTAAATAGGATTTTGTAAGCTAGCTAGCTGGGACTTAATCTTTTTTATAATTAGTTGTGTATCCCATGCAATTAAAAACCAAAGAAACCAAACCCAGTGCTGTCAAGTCAATTCCTATAAACAGAGTAGAACGGTTCCATAGGGTTTCCAAAGCTGTAACTCTTTACAGAAACAGACTGTCACATCTTTCTCCCAAAGAGTGGCAGTGAGTTCAAACCACCAACCTTTTGGCTACCTACCAAGCATTTAATCAATACAATTAGATTACACAAATAAATTTTTGGAGCAAAATTTCTGAGATTTTTGATTAATTAAGGGTTAAAATTGTCTATGGATTTTATTCAACTCCTTTGATGAAAGTTTAAAAAAAAAAATATGTCACACTACTGCCTCAGACAAAAACTGAACCAAACCAAACTCACCTCTGTGGACTTGGATCAACTCATAACGACCCCTCCTTGGGTTCCCAAGGCAATGTCACTATGAATAGTAGATTACCTGACCTGCCTTCTGAGGAATGGCTGGTGGATTTGAACTGCCAGCCTTCCTGCTTAGTAGTCAAATGCCTTAGGCACTACGCCACTAGAGTTCCCATTGCCTCAGACAATAAGACACTAAACACAATGTCGCTTCTCTGGGATTAATTAGTGTGATTGCTGTAATCAGTTAATGTGACATCCAGAATTGAATCCATCCTGGCACCAGCTATATGCTCTGGAACTAACTGGATTTTATGAACTGATCCAGAGGCTTTCTCATTTGTCTCTTCATGTAGAATATGCCGCTACGTGACTTGCCTTTTTAGAACTCCAATTGGAGACTCAGATGCTGCTAGAGCCCTTCTTGGGTGTGTTCTCTCGCCCTCAGCAAAATCAATGCCTCTATACCCTGCCTGCTTAGCAGCAAAGAAAACATTTTTAACATTAGAAATCATTTCAAGGTATCAGTGTGACCACTTGCACTGATGTTGTGGGAAAATATCGCCATCATGTGGAATTTTAGTCTCATGGTGTAACTAAAGAGTATTCCGTAAGCCAGTGTTTTGTATAGATTTGTATTTCATACCTCCCAACTCCTCAGGCCTTGCTTCTGCTCATATCCTCTCTCTGTAATCTTCACTCCCTCCCATTTCACTGGCACCTTCTCTGGTGCCCAGAGAACTAAACGGTTTCAGAATTAACATTGAAAAGAACAAGAATTGAGAAACAGGGCCCTTTAGCCAAGCTCCTTTTGGATGGAGAGGAGCCTGAGCAAGGAATCGGCAGGAATTGAGTCCTTGTGCACTCATCTTCCACCCTCCACCCAGAGGCCCAAATTCCATCTCCAGGTGCCTTTTAAAGAACAAGGACTTGATTATAGAAAGATTAGGAAATAGCAGGCTAATCAGGATATTGCAGGAAATCCAATCATGAGACAGCAGAGAGTGAAGTGGGGCTGGAAAGGAGAGAGATTTGAGAGTTATTTAAGAGTGCAGGACTTGGTAACGGGTTGGATGGTCAAAGATGGAAAGCAAGGAGTTAAGATGACACCCAGATTTCTGACTGGATGGCAATATTCCAATTAAGCCGGGGAGAAGAATGTGGAACCAGTGCAGAAGGGTAAATATTACAAGTTCTGTTTTGACAATCTACTTCTGTAATGACAACAACAACAATATTTTGTGCAAACAGAACTATAATATTTAAAGCCTATACAACACAAAATAGTACCAATATCCTGTCATGATCTTTACCAATCATTTATGTGTTACTCTTATTTCCTCAAATAGGCTGTAACCTAAAGGCATGTTCTGTGGTATTAGTATAGTATTTTGCACAAAGTGGTAATAACAGCTATAATAGCAATGATAGCTATCATTTGCATGCTTCTCACCTGCCGGAAACTGTTCTAAGAGCTATCAGTGTAGAGACTTATTTAATCCTCCCAACAACCTTGTGAGGTAGGTACTTTTATTATTCCTGTTTTACACATGAGGAAACTGATCTGGTTCAAGTTAACAAAATTAGTGAGTATTTAATATTGTTACTGAAGACCATCAAAAACACGTAAAATTCTCACCACTACCATAGTGGCTAAATCACTTGACTGCTAACCAGAAGGCTGGCGGTTCAAACCCACCAGCCACTCCTCAGAAGGAAGGTTGGGCAATCCTACTTCCATAGTGATACTGCCTCGGAAACCCAAGGAGGGGTCGCTATGAGTCGGGGCTGACTCGATGGCACATAACAACAACAACAACAACAACCTAGCTCCCACTCTGTGCACCAACCACATTAAACTTTAGTTTTCCAAACCTGTCTTATATTTTTGTATCTGCTGTTCCTGCTGTTTCTCATGCTCTCCTGATGTTATCCCTCATGATCGCATTCTATTTACCTGTTTATTTGTATCCCCTATCCCACTTTCAGCTTTGTGAGGGCAGAAACCATGCTTATACTTTGTTCATTTTTGTATTTCCAGTGCCTAGCAGCACCTGGCATGTAATATATGCATTCAGTGAAGATTTGTTAAAGTGATTTCTAAAAAAAAAAATGCCACATTCTGACAACCATAGACATAAATAGTGTTTAACATCTTTATTTATTTATGAGATCACTATCTCAGACTCTTGAAGGTACTAAATTTCTGGGCATCAGTTACTTAAATTTTTACTGTGTTTCTAGATGAATTTTGTCATGCCACACCAACCAACATCCAGTTTTTATAAAACATTACAGATGATCGGTTAACACTGCCATTCCTCATACATTTCACATGGATAGCCGAAATTAATCTTTTTTTCCTCAGGTTGCTGTTAAAGAAGAAGAAGATATTATTAGTGAGGAAGAACCTGAGGAAGAGGAAGATGATAATATTGACAACATTCTTGAAGAAGAGTTTCCAAAAGAAGAGGAAGAGATGAGTGAGGAAGACGAAGAACAGGAAATTGATGCCATTGAACGCCTGAGAGGTGAACTGGGAGAAAAATTTGAGGCAGATATGACTAATTTACAAATAATACAGGTATGACTTTTCCTTCATTACTTCTCATAATTCAAAAATATAACATTTAATGTTCACCACAATAAAAAAAAGTAACATTTGAATATGAAACAAAAACTATTTAGTTCATGCCTTAGTTTTTTTTTTTAATAACATTTCAAAACAAAAACATTTTGTTAGCACCACTTATAATGATGAAAAACAGTTTATAAATCAAAGGCAACTTGGAAGCTCACAGGGTCAGAAGTTTTTGGTGCCAGCATGCAGCCTGTCAGAAGCGTAAAAATATTTGTTCTTTAGACTGAGGTAGGAATCTTGGTGGTGCAATGGTAAACTGCTTGGCTGCTAGCTGAAAGACTGGTGGTTAAAACTCACCAGCTGCTCCATGGGAGAAAAGACCTGGTGATGTGCTCCATGAAGATTATAGCTAGGAAGCCCTATGGGGCAGCTTTCCTCTGTCTTATAGATAGGGTCACCACGAGGTGAAACTGATTTGAAGGCATGCAACAACAGACCAAGGTAGTCAATCACCACCTGTGTCCACATGCTGTGACTGAATACTACCACCTTTTCCTCACTGAATATATTTGGTTTTTTGCTTTCACTGCTCAGGAGGAATTTGAGAGGTTTTTGATACCAATAATTCCCATTAATGGAGCTCGGAAAATCCACATTGTACAGTATATGTTGAATACCAAAGTGAAGCCGCTGGTGGAAAATCGTGCAAGCATTTTCGAGAAATGTTATCCAATAATGCCACACCTTGCCCAGAAAATGCTCAGCCTTACCTACAAATACATAAGCTCATTTGGATATTGGGACCCTGTAAAGGTAAAGCAAAAGAATCAGAAAGTCATGTTCTTTTTGTACTTCTTTTTAAAGTATTCTAGGAAAAAGACAGTAGATAATATAAAAAAGTATAAACTTTGTACAGTATTCTTAACTAGCTGTAAAAATATATTTGGCTGTTTTGCCTTTCTGATGTGGAAAAAATAGTTGAAGGATTTAATTTCTTTCATCTATTTCTGTAGAGATAATCTAATTCCATCCTGGTTTTACCTTTGTAGTAATAGAAATAGTTTTAAACTAGTAATCTACCACTACCTTGCTGTCTAATTTTAGGCAAGTCATTTAGCCTCTTTGATTCTACTTCTTCACCTTCACAATGGAAGAATATTGCCATCTAGTCTTTGTGATCAGATGCAAAAGTGATAAAGCACTGAAAAGTGTGAAACACCATGCAAAAATGGTGTTATTAACAATTAATGCTCATAACAAACTTATTTCTAAATACTGTGTTGAAAACCATATGTAGTACCTCCTACTTTGGCGAGTAGCAACTGGGATCTTAAAAGCTAGCAAACTGCCATCTAGATGCAACAATGGGTCTCTCCTCGTCCAGAGCAAAGAAGAATGAAGAAAACCAAAATTCATGGAAAT